GGCGCCCCCGCGGAGCTTCGTGCTCTGCCGCGGAGCGAACTTTCTCCGGAGATGGCCGGCGCGGGGCGGCGCGCCCCCCGAAGACGACCGGGCAGCCTCTGAGAGCCGCCCGCACCCCGCGCTGCCGGGGCCCGAGCCCCCGGGCCCAGGGGGGGACAGCGCGGCATCTTGGGCGCCGGGACCCCCGCTCGGCCGGAGAGGTAGGGCCCCTGGAGTGTAAGGGAGCTGGGGTGGCGGACCCTGCTTTGCCTCCTTCCCCAGGCCCGGGAACCCCTTGCGCGAAGCTGGTGGCTGCCGGGATTTGGAACCCCAGGCCAGAAGTGCCAAGTTTGGGGGGCGCAGCTGCCTCTTCCTGGCTCGGCGCACCCCGCTGGGACCTGGGTCTCTGCCGTCTCTGTCTCTGGGTCCCTGGTGATTTCCCCTTCCTCTGTCCGCGCCAGGCGCCCCAGAGAGGAAGCCCCAGAGGCGGCCTGCCCACTGCGGCCACTGCTCGCTCTATTGGGCTCTCTCTACTCACTCACTCACTCATTCTCGCTCTCTCTCCCCAGTTTGCAAACGCAGTTTGGAGTTGGATTCCGACAGCAGCAGGAAAAACCTGGCCCTCTCCCCACTTTCGTGCCCCGCTCTCTGTCTCCAACCCGGCACCCCCAGTTCCTCCAGGCCCTCCTGCCATGTCGGACCCAGACGTCCCCAGGGGCCCTGAGGCCCCGGCTATGTGGCCTCCCTGTTCCAGGGGTGCTTGAGCCTCGGTGCGGAGCCCCGCTGCCCCTGCCCACCTCGGCCTGCCCGGAGCCCTCGGGACGATGAGTGGAGGGAAGAAGAAGAGCAGCTTCCAGATCACCAGTGTCACCACGGACTATGAGGGCCCTGGGAGCCCAGGGGGTGCCGAGCCCCCGACCCCTCCGGTCCCCACCCGGCCCCCACCCCGCCTGCCCAATGGAGAGCCTAACCCGGATCCAGGGGGCAAGAGCACCCCCCGGAACGGCTCCCCGCCGCCCGGGGCCCCTGCCTCCCGTTTCCGGGTGGTGAAGCTGCCACACGGCCTGGGAGAACCTTATCGCCGAGGCCGGTGGACGTGTGTGGATGTTTACGAGAGAGACCTGGAGCTGCCTAGCTTCGGCCGGCTTCTGGAGGGAATCCGGGGGGCCTCGGGGGGCACGGGGGGCAGGTCACTGGATTCCAGGTTGGAGCTGGCCAGCTTGGGCTTGGCCACCCCGGCCCCACAGCCAGGCCTGTCTCAGGGCCCCACCTCTTGGCTCCGCCCGCCCCCCACCTCCCCCGGACCCCAGGCCCGCTCCTTCACGGGAGGACTGGTCCAAATGGTCGTAAGCGCAGGCAAGGCCGTGGGGGAGACGCCCCCGCTCTCAGCCTCCCCACCCCACCTTCGCCCCCCAGAGCCTGGGATCCGGGACATTGAGGGCACATCCTGGGCCTCCATGCCCCTTCCCTCGCTGAGGGTGGAAGTGGAGCCAAGGACCTCAGCAGTCGGGACTCCACCGCTGTCCAGAAGGAAGGATGGACCCTGGCAGCTGGGGATGGAGTTGGTGGCTCCGGAGGAGACAGGGCAGGTAAGAGCGGGTCTGGGGCAAGGAAGATGCCTCTTGGGGATGGTGCTCACCCACCAGTCTCAGCCCTGGCCTGCCCTCCATCCTGGCCTCCTGCCTCAGCCTGCAGGCTGCACTCCCACGACTTGAGCATCTGCCTATCTGCTCAGTAGCCTCTCCTTTCTCTTTGGTCATCTTACTTTGAAGTCCGTCCATCCTGCCTTTAGAACTCCTCAGGGCCACCTTTGTTTTCCGCCCAGCTTCCCTCTGCCCCGGGCTCTATCTCCCAGGCCTGTAGCTTGTTGCCTTTGCCCCTCAGCTTTGTGATCGTCTCTATCAACCTGTGGCCTCTGCACTCTGACCTTCACCTTCTCTCTTGATCTCACTCCCTCTGACTCAAGGAGTTGAGGGTGGAGGACCCAGCAGGGAGAGGTTGGAGGGACCTTCCAGGGAGGTAGAGGCCAGAGGTAGGGGTCCCACTGCAACCCTCTCTCCATGCCACCCTATCCGGAATGGGGGGTGGTCAGCCAAGCCTCGTTTTCAGCTTGGAACCAAGTTTCTCTTCCTGAAGGAATGGCTTGGAGGTGGTGTGTGTGTGTGTGTGTGTGTGTGTGTGTGTGTGTGTGTGTACATTACAGGAGTGGGAGGCTTGCTAATTCCCACTCCCCAGGTCTCCCCAGGGGGTAGCCACCATGGGTGGAAGCAGTGGAAAGTAGCCAGAGCCGAATGCCAGACTCAGTGCCACCGAGTCTATGCTGACCCGTAGTGCCCCATAGGACAGGGTAGAACTGCCCCTGTGGGCTCCTGAGACGGTCACTCCTCAGGGGAGTAGAAAGGCCTGTCTTTCTCCCGGGAAGTAGCCACGACAGAGTTAAAGCATCTGCTCTTTCTGCTTCCTGTCTCCAAAAGAGGAACAAGTCTGGGGGTGGGGGTGCCCAGGAGGCCTGGGTCCTGGGGGGTGGGGTGGGCAGCTAGGGATGAAGGGGCTGGATGCTTCTGTCCCAGAGGAGAAAATAACACCTTGGGTCTTTAGCATGAAGATGAGGACTTTCTCCCCTTCCTGGCCTTGGGCACAAACCACAGTATAAAAATAACCTGGGACTGGATGTCTGGGCCTTGTCAGGACTGGTCAGGACCGGCTCCCCCCACCCCCTCCTGGCCTCAAGCTCACATCTCTCACACACAGACACCCCCACCCCACCCCTGACTTTTCTGGAGCTTTTCTGTTCAGTGCCTGGGGGGCGGGGGCCGAGGTGCTTTCCTGGACAGTTCCCTCTGCCCTGAGTCTCTGCTCTCTGGCTTGTCTTAAACCGTGCTTGATCTGCCTGTGGGGCCCCCAGAGCCTGCTCTTCCTTCTGAGCGTCCCCAACTTGCACGCCCTGCCCCTTTGTTTCTGACACCGGGGTGATGGTTTCTTTGCTTAAAGGACCCTTCTCCTTTCTACAGTGCCCTCTGGCCTTGAACAGAGGTGGGCAGTGGGGAGGAGGGCCAGGGGGCCAGGGGCAGCACCTGGACTCCTTCCTTGGCTCCGTCCCTCTAACCACCCTGGACTCTCTGTTCTTGGCTTTTCCGAGAAGCTGGGGCCTCCCAGGGCCTCGCAGAGGCGTCTTGTTCCTGTTGCCCCCGCCCTTTTGCAGCCGCCCCCGTCCCTGTTGGGCTGTGTAGGCCCACGCACGCCCAGGCCCCGCCTCTCCCCATCTCGGTACCCGCCCCCTCGCGCCCCCCACACTCCCACACGCACACACATGGGCTTCACCTGGGCTTCACCTAGGTCCTAGTGGGATGGCGGAGAGAAAAGCCAGCTTTTCAGGACTCATTCAGTCCGTAGAGGGCTCTTCAACCAACTAGAAGCCCAGCTTCTCTCCCCCACCCCCCTGCCAAGCCTCCCTTCTCGCAGAGGAAAGATAATAATGCATAACTTCAGATACTGTGAAGGGCTGTAAAAACATAAAACGTAAACGGGTCAGTGGACTGGCGGAAAGGGCGCTCTGAGGAAGTGACATGTGGGTTCAGGTGACAAAGGCGTCTCTGGCGAGCCCGATGATTAGGGGGTCCCCGGCTCAGCCGGAGGAGTACGCTTGTCAGAGACCGGCTGCTGCTCCTTCCAGTTCTCAGGATGGACAGCTCTGCAGGCTTCCAGCCTTCCTCCCATGTCTTCACCCAGGGAGGGGGGCTGCAGAGGGACTTGCTGGGGCCTGGGGAGAGAGGGAGGGAGGAAGGAAGCCTTTGAGGCCAGTTGGTGGGTGGCCAGTTCCTTGCTTCCCATGTGACGGTCCTCCTCTCTCTCTCTGCTTCCAGGTGCCCCCACTCGACTCCCACCCCAGCTCCCCAGCCCTCTACTTCTTCCCTGACGCCAGTCTGGTTCACAAGTCCCCAGACCCCTTTGGGGCGGCGGCCCAGAGCCTCAGCCTGGCTCGCTCCATGCTGGCCATCAGTGGTCACCTGGACAGCGATGATGATAGGTAGGTCGTTCACGTGGAGGGCCGTGAGGTTAGTCCCCACCTGGTGCCCCGAGAGGGGGGGGAGCTGCCGCCCGAGTAGGTGTGCATTCGTCTGTCCCCTGCCCCCCAGGTTGAGTTTGGAGAGGACTTGTTAAAGAGAAGTCTGGCCTGGGCATAACCACTGGATTTGTTGACTTGGGACCCACTCCCTCTCTGTGGGGAGAGCTGGGTGGGACTCCCTGGCTTAGGACTGTCGAATCATAGACTTTTTTCGAGTTTGAAGGGAGGCGTTGTTTCCAATTCCAGAGCTGTTGCAGACTTAAGAGATCATCTGGCAACCCCAAGAATTTAGGAGCATATGTGCCAGAGCCGAGGCTAAGCAATCAGCCTCCTCTCACTTCCTCCCTCCCCGCCCTCCTGCCAGTAACTTCTGGTCTTCTGTTAGGGATTGCTCGAAGATCCTAGTAGTTCCGATGGTTTTGCGCCGAGAGTGGACGTGGCCAGCGGGCAGAGCTAGGGACACCCCGGGGCGGGTGTTGTGGGAGAGCATGGCTGAACCGGAGCAGGGCCCTAGGCTGTCTTGGGGTGCATCTTGGAGGGCACTGCCCTGGTTGGTGGCCCGGTGGGCAGGACTTCCTGTTGAAGACCAGGTTTACACATAGGCATGTCAGCGGGCTGGCACGGGAAAGAGGACCTCCCCGGGAAGAGAGCAAGGCTCTCTGTGGGCTGGCAAGCCGAGGGAGAAGCACCAGGGCAGTCACCATTTTTTGTTTGGGGAAATGAGGAGTGGGACTTCCGGTTTGAGGCCCTCGAGGGGCGGGACTTCCTGTTTGGAAGGCACTCGGGTGGGGAGTGGGTGCAGGGGGGACCTGTTCCAGTGGTGAGCCCCTCCTTCCTGCCTACCCCTCAGGGGGCCCCACCCCCTAGAATCAGAGCTTTCCCCCCCACCCCAACACACACAAAGGGGGGGTCTGAGGAATTGGAGGGGGGCTGGAGCAAGAAAGGATGGGGAATGGGGTGGCCTGGAGACAGCGGATGGAGGGCAGGGGGGCTGGTGGGGGCTTTGGAGAGAATGGACAAAGCCCAGTAGGGCCGGGCAGCGCGTGGGCCCCAGCGCTGAGCACTGTGTGAGGTGTGAGGTCTGCCAGGGCCCAGAGTCACCTGCTGTATCCTGCTATTCTCAGCTCTTCCCACCCCTCCCCCTCCTTCTGGGGAGGTTCCCTGGCAGAGGGCGACTGGCCCTCCCCCATCCCTGTTGATTTCCTCCCATGGCCTCCTGCTCACACTGTCCTAGAAGATTCTGCCTCCACAGAAGATTCAGCTCTATTCTTCAGGCTTATCCCCTCCCTCCTTCCCTCCCTCGGTTTCCACCCCCTCTCCCCACACCCCAGTCTGACCGGTCCGGTCTGGCTCCCAGCCTCCACTTTTCCCAGCTCTCAGCTCCAGGGCTCCCCTGTTCAGCCCCAGCTCCTCCTGCCCCACCCTTCTGGGCCAGCGGGTTTGGGTTGGCCCCCCCCTACCCACCCACCCAGGCATGGGACACGTAGCCCTTACCTCAACCCTCTGAGGGCCTGGAGTTGGTGAGGCAACATGGAAACTGCCCTTTTGAGAGGAAAGTGGGCTGGGATGTTACATGCCCAGACCCCAGATGGGAAGTTGGGGTGGGCAGGGGTGGTGCAATTCCAGAAGCTGTGGCTGTGGATCCAGACAGAGGGTGCCTGGGGAGTCCAGACTGTTCACCTGCTCCTGGTTTGCCAGAACTTTCCTGGCCCCTAGCAGAGGGCAGGCCTTTAGGAAAGGTCTGCAGAAGGTAGTGGATGGGCGGAAGGCCAGCCTGCAAGTGAGACCTGGGCTTCAGAGAGAAGGGATCTCTGGGACTTGGGGAGAAAAAGGTACATTGAGCGATCCTGTGGAGCCCTTGGGTGATACAAACTGTCAGCATGCTTGGCTGCTAATGGACGGACTGACGGATGGACGGAAAGCTCCTGGAAAGAAATCCCTGTAGATTTCGTTTTGGAAATGTGATAGGAAACCCCTTGGAAACTCCGGCTCTGGGCTGACACCCGTGGGCTGGACATGACGTAGCCTCCTTGCTGGCACCCGGGTGGGATGTTTAACCTTTGAGCCATGGGCAACTTGTCAAGTTGATCCTGTGCAGCACAGAAGGAAACCCAGCCCAGCCCTGCGCCGGCCTCACCCTTGTTCTTATGCCTGAGCCCGTCATGGCGGGCACTGTGTCCGTCCATTCTGGGGAGGACCTTCCTCTTTGTCGCTGCCCCTCTGCTTTACCGAACATGATGTCCTTCTGCAGGGACTTGGTCTCTCCTGACCACACGTCTGAAGTCCGTGAGACCCAAGTCTCAATGTCCTGGCTTCTGAGGAGCGTTCTGGCCGCACAAAAGCCACCTTGTGCCCCCTGCTTCCCAGAGGAAGGAAGGGACACTCGAAGGAGCAGCATTTTAGTCTCTTGTTCAAGGTCACCCTGCTAGTATGTGACAGGACTGGAATGGGAACACGGGCCTGACCCCCACGCCACGATACTGCTCTCCTACTGAGGTGCCTGTGGCTCACAAGGCGGAGGAAGGCCACCGAGGGAGTCACCCATCCCCAGGATGCCCTCTCTGTCCAGGCCAGAGGCAGGGACAGCTCTCTTCAGTGGGGCAAAGAGCCAGCCCTCCTCCCTGCCTGGTCCCGCCCCAAAGGCACCACAGATCCGGGAGGGAGTGTGGACAGGGCAGCCAGATGCCACTTCTGTTGGCCCCTGGCCCGGCCCCTGGGGGCTCCTTTAGAACACAGCCAAGAAGCAGGGCTGGCCCCCATTCGCTCCCCAGGATCAGAGCCTCCCTACCTCTCCCGGAGGTCCTGCTGCTTCATCAGATCCTAGGTTGAATGCTGTTTCGTTTGACCTTCAAAGAGGAAGGCTAGCCCCTCAGGCTGTCCTGGCCCCCGGGACCCAAGCGACCTGCCAGGCCAGGTCCCCACTTGTGCAGGTCAGACCTGCATGCCCCCCTCCAGGGACACCGCTCCCAATAAGATGGCAAGAAGCATCTTGAAGAAGGGGACCTTCCGCTACACTTCGCATGTAGCTGCCTGTTGGGTTTGAGAGGCCCGATCCCTTCTACCCACCCCCAACTTCCTGCTCCTGACCCTACCCAGGAATTCCAACTCTGCCCCCAGCCCCTGGCTCAAACCAACAATAACAAAACACCTCACTGCCATCCATTCCATTCTGACTCATAGTGACCCTATAAGACAAGGTAAACCTGCCCCTGTGGGTTTCCGAGATTGTAACTCTTGACGGGAGTAGAGAAAGCCTTGTCTTCCGAGTAGCCGTTGGTAGTTTCAAACTGCCAGCCTTGTGGTTAGCAGCTCAGTGCTTAGTCACAGTGCCAACAGGATCTCGCAAACGGAGAGCATCCATGTTCAAGTCCTGGCCCCTGGAAGCATTGACACGAGACTCTGGTAGTGGAAAAGAGCTTTGAGAATTCCTAAGCGCTAGACAAACAAGAGATTGCCATCTGTCAGCCAACAAATGTTTGTTGTTGTATTACTCCTTTATTTCTGGCTAGGAGGAACCACTTACTTGGCATCTCCACCCAAGTCAGTGTTGGCCAAAGCCAGGCCAGCATTCCCAGCCCTGTGACTGTGCACCTCTGGGGTCCCAGGGTCTACGTGTACTAGGGGCCAGTGTCATGGCTTGAAACCACTCAAAAATGCCCTCCCCATAGGGGGCGCAGGAGTCCTTCCCCTGCCACCCTGTCCTGCTCACTCAGGCCTGGCCATCCCTTGGGTTACTCCTGGCCCCCACCTGTCTGCACCTTCCGCACCCAGAGCCGGGGCTGGGGAAATGGAAAATTCCCAGCTCCCTTCTGGCCGCAGGGCCCCATGTGAGGGTGACCTTGACTTGAGGGCTGCAAGGCCCCCAACAGGGAAGCAGGTGGGAGCCGTCCTTGTGGAGGGAGGGCTTGACAAGGGAGTACAAGGGCAGGAGATGGAGCTTGTTGGGGGCTCCCATCCCTGGAGGGGGTAAACAGGATTCTGTAATGCAGTGAGTGGCGGAGGCAGCAGCTGGTGTGGGGAGGCGGGGGCATGAAGTGTGGGATGACCGTGGTGGGGATGGGGAGTCTGCGTGGAGCAGGGTATAGAAACTATGGGGCCTTGGAGAGAGGCAGGCTTGATCTAGGAGAACCCTGGCTTAGGTCGGTGAGCCCTGGGGCCTGGGGGCCTTGAGTCGACCTCTGGTGGCCACTTAGCAAACAGCAGCCAGAACCTGCTGTGGCCAGCTTCTGGCCAGTTCTGCCCGGCTAGTGCTTCTATTCCCAGGGCTCCACATCCAGCCTCATCTTCCTGCCGGCCCCACAAGCCCTGCTCTCTCCAAGACCCCACAGCCAGGTTCCATGGCTACAGCTGACTGTGGGCCCCTGAGTTCCACCATCCTTCCTCATTCCTCGTGTCCCCATCCTGGGGGCTGGGGGCCTCCTGGCCCCAGGCCCCTTCCTGAGATAGGCCTTGTGTCAGTGCCTGGAAGACCATAGCCCCGTCCCCCACCATAACCCCCACTCCCAATCCCCTACCCAGGCTGAGGTGGAGTGTAAGTCCAGAGGGACCCGGTAGGATCAGAGGTGGGGTTTCCTCCGGCCTGGCTCTCCTTCATCCTCATCGCCCTCTCCCTGCCTCTTGTCCCTACAACCCCTCCCCTGCGCCCAGCCACCAGCTGACTTCCCTCAGTTGGCCCCCTCCCCTCCATTCTGGGACTGACGCCAGGGTGAGAAGGGGACACTGGCACTGGCATGGGGCTGTGTCTGGGAATTCCCGCCCACCATTGGCACTGGTGGGAGGGGGGTCCCCGTGTCCCTGAGGAGCCAATAGCAGCCGGGCCTGGCCCTGGGGGGTGGTGTATATCTTTCCGACCAGCAGCCCCAGGGCACTGTCCCCTCTCTGCCTGCCTGGCACCAGCCGGGCCCCGTGCTACCCGGGGGGGCTCCGAGCCCCCCAGGGAATCCTCCTGACACAGCCTTCTCTCTTTGAGTGGCCTAAAGACCCTTACCCCTCCGGGATGACCCAGCCGGGCGTCTCGGTCAAGTCCCTGGTGTCATCTTATGAGACCCGAGTGGTGGGGATGGCCCCGGGGCCACCCCGAAAAAGAGGCTGTATCTCCTCTCCTTGCTCGCCTCGGGGAGCCTCCCCCAACAGAGGGGCATCTGGACCCTCACCCTCCTGGGGCCTCGGGGGACCTGTGCAGCGGCCCTCCGCCCGCCGAGGGCTGGACAAAACCCTCCTCTCTCTGATTCTCTACTGTCACAGGTACCGAGAGGGGCGCGGGGGGAGGTGGCTGCAGCAGAGGTGGCTTAGCAGAGGTCAGGGACAGCTCCGGGAAGCGCCTGGGTGGGCCGAGGTCTGAGCTGGCCCGGCCTGGTTTGGTGGCTGCTCCTCCTCAACCCCTACCTCCCTGTCTCTCTCCAGTGGTTCCGGAAGCCTGGTTGGCATTGACAACAAGATTGAACAAGCCATGGTAAGAGAAGTGATTGGGACCCCGGAGGTCTGCGCTTCGTGTGTGGACGCCCAGATACCTGCTCTCTTTAGCTGTCCCTCCGCCCCTACTCCTGCTGTCCTTCTTAGGCCATTCCTGACACCCACCTCCTCCGCCTGCTCCCTGTGGGATTCCACTGGTCCTTCCGGCCCCTCCTGAACCTTTGCTACCCCTTGATCTAGACCTGGTCCCAGGTTCCTCCCCTGTCTTTGAGCCTTGATTGCCCTGCCCTCCCACTCCCACTTCCCACCTTCTTCCCCAGGGCCCCCCTCATCAGGTTGGGAGCAAGATGTCCCATCCACCTAGGCCCTGAGGCCCTGAGCCAAGACTGACCATCTGCCTGTTGTCGGTTCCCAGGACTTGGTGAAATCCCACCTCATGTTTGCGGTCCGAGAGGAGGTGGAGGTGCTGAAGGAGCAGATCCGGGAGCTGGCCGAGCGGAACGCCGCACTGGAGCAGGAGAACGGGCTGCTGCGTGCCCTGGCTAGCCCCGAGCAGCTGGCCCAGCTGCCTGCCTCAGGAGTCCCGAGGCTCGGGCCTCCTGCGCCCAACGGGCCCTCCGTCTGAGCAGCTTCCCTACCCTCACAGTGTGCCTTTGGGGGCTGCCAAGGCTGCCGGGCCTTGTGCCAGCTGCCCGCCCCCTCTTCCTATGCAGCTTTAATGCCTCCTGATCCCCAGGCTGGGAGTTCAAGGCTCAGTGTCGCCGGTCCCCCAGCCCTATCCACATTTTCCCATAGTCCCCAGGGTCTGGGCTAGGGTGCCTGCGGGCCTTGGCAGAAGAAGGAGGGCCCCAGGATGGGGTGTTAAATGGCACCCTCCTCCATGAGGGGTTCCAGCCTGTCCCTCCCCCCTCCCCTGTGTCATTGTTCTGGGACACCCTCACCACCCCCCAACATGAGACGGCTTGAGGACGTTGGAGGATCCCTGGCAGACATGGTCCCCCCACCCCAATGCCTTGTTCCCCAGCAGTGCCCCATCTCCTTGGCCCAGGGGAGGGAGTATGGACAGTATCTGAGAGTTCGGGGATTCAGGTTGTTATTAACATAATATAATTAAAAAATCTGAAGAAACTTGAATCTGGGAGCTGGCATCTCTTTGCTTGTGTCAAGTCTAGGGTCCTGTGCGAGTAACCCCCCACACCCCCGCAGGAGCTTCCCCCCCCAGGAGAGCTTGTCCCACCCAGGGAGTGCGCATGTGGCTAGGGAAGATGGAGAGGCAGAAACGGAGCCCGCAGCGCCGGGTCCGGGAAGGGCACGCCAGGAGAGGCAGAGGAGTTTTGGTGTGTGTGTGGGGAGGGGGGAGTGTGTTGGTGCCCACGTGCTGAGGGGAGAGGGGAACAATGAGGCCTTTGGTGATTGTGCAGGATCCACCCCCCAGGTTCCCAGAGTGTCCCCTCTGTGGGCTGGATCCGGGTGGCTGCTTGGGGGCGGGGCGAAGGACCCTGAATGGGCCCCTTGTCTCAGGGCTGGGTGTGGGCCAGGCTCCCTGGGCACACGGTGCCCTCGCCAGGCCTGGCTGGCTGCCTTGGCTTCCACCCTCAGCTGGCTGAGTGCTGGCCCTGTGGGAGAGCAGCCCCTCCCAGGAGGGCCTGGGCTCCCTTCACTGGACCTCCCAATGCTCCTCCCTGCCTAGGTGGCAGCATGCAGGTAGGAAAGAGCCCCCATCTAGCGGGGAAGCAGGGGAAAGCAGCAGCTTCTGCATCAGGGGCCCTCGAGGATGGATTCACGCCAGGGCTGCACCAACGGGCTCAGGCACAGGAATGAGGGTGAGGATGGTGCAGGGTCGGGCCCGGTTTTCATTCTGTTGGGTGTAGGGTTGCTATGAGTCTGAACCGACTCCATGGTACCTACCAACAAAAGCCCTGAACGAAGAACCCCGAGAAGGTGCAGGAGGAGCCAGAGTGGGGGGAACGGGGCTTGTAAAGCAGGGCCCCTGGGGACAGACCTGGGTTGAATCCCTGCCCAATAAAAAACTCCTTGCCATCCAGTTGATGCCGACTGAAAGCGGCCCTGTAGGGACCAGATGGAACTGCTCCGAGAACTGAGTGTCAGAGAGCATAATTTTACGGGAATACAAAGTCCTGTCTTTCGACCGAGGAGCAGCTGGTGGTTTTGAACCACTGACCCTGACACGTCTCCATCATGCCAGAGTTGATGACCTGGAATCAGTTTCTGGTGCTTTATCAGAACACCAGCACTGATAGTGGGCACCTGCTGTGAGGGGCTGTTGTAAATCTTACGTGGGAATGTCTAGCACCTAATAGATGGCCACAAGTTAGTTCCCCTCCCCTGAATCAAGGTGGGACAGGGATAAGGGGATAAGGGATTAGCTTCCTGGGTGCTGGAAGGACCTCGGGGGTTGGGGTCAAGGCCAGGCAGCTCTCACAATGGGCTAGAATTCTCCCTCTCCCTAGGTTCTTACCTGCTTTTGACTCCTCTCCCTGTCCCAGGGAGGGGAGGAAAGGCCTAGGATGGGTCTCTGGGGACACTTCTCCTCTGGAGTCCCTGTTCCTTTCTTCACTGCTGTGCGGGAAGCCCCTCGGTTCCTGGAAGCCCTTTTGGGGGGTGGCCCCTGATCTGCTACCTGTCCCCAACTTGAACCAACTACTGGCTCTGCCCCTGTTTGGAAGTCATCCTATGAGGAGAGATGGCTGTGGTGATGATATTCTTCCGATGGGTTTGGCGGAAGTTTGCTTGTTGGGTGAGTTGCTGAGTGACTCCCGCATCCTCCTGACACCCTGGGATGTTGGCACGAGAGGAGCTGGCCACAGTAGGAGCCGCCCCGCCCCACCCCAACACACACACACCCTGATTTCCTCCCCTCCTTGCCCCCTGAGGTCAAACAAGGCAGAGAGGGAGGAGGATAGAGATAGTGGGGGAGGGAGTTGAGGGCAGCCTCTGTGCCGTCCTTCCTGGTGATGGATGCCTCTGCTCTTCTTCCTATCCTGGTTACTAGGTCCTGTCCTGGAAAACTCGACCTAATTCATGCATCCCAGAAAACACTGAGTCCAAGAAACAGATACTTAAAAGGATGGAGAAGCCCGTTCACATGACGGAACATTTCAAGTTGGTGGAAGTCGCCAAAGGAGTCCCGTCCCCCAAAGAAGCAAAGTCCCTCAAGCTGGACGAGTGCCCCAAGATGGATGAGCTGTTTGTAGAGGAATTCCTCGAGATGGATGGATCTTCCAGAGTGTCCGAGCCTTATGTATTGCCCAGCACCACAGATGGGATGGTGCCGGGCCCCCAGGGCCGGTCCCTACTGCGGCTGCCCCAGACAGCGGTGCAGTCTGTCTCCACACTTATGGTCTCAGCGCTACAGACCGGCTGGCAGATGTGCTCCTGGAAGGTCAGACCTTTCCCTGGTTCCTGATGGTGCGGCTGCTACCCACCCCACCCCCACCCCCACCCCCGGCTGGTTCAACAGCGATTTCCTATGTCTCCGCTAAATGTCAAGCACTGAGGCAGGTGCCAAGGATACAGCAGTGACCAGGAGTTCTTACCCAGTCTTGGGGTGGGGGCACAGACAAGATGACATTGTTGGTTCAGTGTCCTAAGGGTGTGACAGATGCAGGAGGAACAGTGGGACGTAGGTCCAGAGGGAGGCATTTCCTCCAGATCTGACAAGTCAAGTCGGGGAAGGCGAAGCTTTTTCACAGAGGAGAAGGTGAGAGTTCTGGGGAGGTGGGTAGGAGGAGCTGCTCACGAAAAGAGAACACCCAATGCGTGGGTGGGGTGGGGATAGAGGGCTGCCCCAAGGGGCGTGGGTCAGAGCGGAACCATCTGGAAGCCAAGGGCAGCTTGGATGTACAAGGCCCAAGTGAAGGGGTTTGTCTGTTATCCTAGGAGTCCTTGAAAATATTTGAGCAGCCGAGTGAATGATCAGATCCTGGCCTAAGACGCTGACGTCGCAGGTGGGAATGTAAAATGGTGCGGGAGTTCTGAACGACGGGTCGTCTCTCTTACGCAGCATAGCATGCAAAGACCCTGAGACTCAGCAGCTGTGCCCTCGGGCATGGACCCAGGTCAAGGCAAATGTATGTCAACACAACAGTCTGGACACACTGGCTTTCGCAGCTTTCCCCCCACCACCCAGATGTCCCTGCAAGATGCTGGAGGAATGACTGACTGGGCGCAGGGGCAGCCAGACTGTGGATTACTACGTGGCAGCAAAAGGAACACCAACCAGTGCTCCATGTAATGACTGGAAGGACTCTCCCAGTGAAAACCACCAGTCCCCAGAGGGTCCATCCTGGATGGTGCTATTTGATCGCATTCTTGAAATGTCCGAAAGAGCAATGGAGAGTGGGCTTTGGAGTGCCTGGGCCTGGTTCTGAGGATAGAATCCGGTGACCATGTTCTGTATCATGGCTGTTGTGATTGGATCCAGGAACCTGCTCGTGTCATCAAATTTCACAGAATTAAACACATACACACACACAGGTGGGAAATCCAAGTCAGATCCACGGACGGTAGCAATGCCAATGTCCTGTGATAATGTTTTACCGTCGGGTCTTCATGGGGTGACGACAATGTCGAATACCCTTCATCTCTATTGTGTCTTAATGACTGCATGTGAAGCTGCGGTGATCTTAACATAAAGAGTTTGAGTGTCTAGGTCATTACCAAATCAGTTTTCATGTGACCTGGAATAAAATCTTATATTATGTTACAAAGAAGAGGAGAAAAAAAAACACCCCAAACCCCCCTGGTTGCTTTCTGGAGGAATATCAGGGGACATGGAGAAAAGCAGGCTAGGCACTGGGTGGTACAGGCAGAAAGAGGGGTATGTCAGCTTAGGGATCTGAAAGGTATTTAGGAAGTGGGGCTGATGGGCTGGGTGCTTGATCAGATGGGGAGACGGAGAAGAGGAGAGAGAGACAGAAGTCGGGTCGGCCAAGTCGTTCTCTGGAAGTGGGAGCTTGAAGGTTGGAGCTCAGACTCGGGAGAAGGCGATGAGTGGAGGGCATTGGGACAAGATGGCTTGAGATGCTGGTCGGACCTCTCTGTGGCAATGTCTTCACATCCATGAGATAAACAGACCCAGAAGTCAAAAGGGGAGCCCTGGTGGCATAGTGGTTACTTGTTAGGCTTTGATCCACAAGATCGGCAGTTCAAAACCACCAGCCACTTCATGGGAGAAAGGGGCATGGCTCTCCCATAAAGAATCGCTGTCTTGGAAACCCACAGGGACTGTTCTACCCTGTCTTAGAGGTGGGCTGTGACTCAGCATTGACCTGGCGGCAGTGAGTTTGGCCTCCTGGCTTAGAAAGCCGAAGAGCCATTGTGATGTCTTTTCCCTTCATTCCAATACTCTCTCCATGGCGTCCTGAGCAGGGCCTCACAGGTGGATCAGGCATAAGGCCCTCTTTCCCAGGAGCTTGCATTGTAGTGGAGAGAGGTGGCCACGGAATGAGTCCATAGAAGAACTAGCGTTTGAGAAGGGGCGTAGCAAGACCCTGTGAGAGCAGAGGCCATGGAATGCGCTGAACTGGGTCTGAGCTGGGTCTGACGGAGGTGGAGGGTTCAGGCCCCAGGCTGTGTATTTGCTGGTTATTCTACTCGGTGGTCTCTTCCCGGATGAAGCTACTTACACCTATATATTCCATCTTCTCTCTGTAGTCATCTGCGAGTACTACCTCAGTTGCCTCCCGCATGAGGACCAGGTCCCCCTTGGAGTCACCGGAAGCTGAGCTGCTGCGGGAGGTATACCTGGTGCTGTGGGCTATTCGGAAGCAACTGCGACAGCTGGCCCGTAGGCAGGAGAGGAGGCGGCGCCACAGCCGCAGCCACACAAGCCCCCAAACTGACCCAGCTCAGGGCCTGAAACAGGATGCCCGAAGTCCCCTCTAAGAACTGTCCCCAGATCCTCAGTAAAGCCCCCAGCTCCCTCTCAGGTGAGGTTGCTTGGGGAGGGATCAGGGCAGTGGGCCCTGAGAGATGAGTGAGGAGGATTACGTAATGTCTCCTCTGATCGGGAGCCCAAGCCCAGACTTGGAGTCCAACCTACTCCCCTTCATTCCATTTATTCCATTTGTAAAGAACTATCCAAATATTGGAAAATAAATATCAGATATTTCTCAGTAGATCCGGAGTGTGTTTGTGGATGGCCAGAGGCAACGAGGGGAACTTGAATGGGCCAAGGAAGGACACCTGAGGTGGGGGCCGCCCTCTGTGGGAGTCACCCATAGGCCTGGGGAAGGGGGTGGGCTCAACAGATCCCAGCTCTGCCCACTCCTCCCACTTCCAGGGTTTGAATCGTGTGCCTTTGGTAGCTCTGTCTGGCAAATAGCTATAACACCCAAACTAACCAAACCAGTTGCCTGGAGTAGCTAGTGGTAGAACAGGATTCAAGGAGACCCCATGTGTATCAGTGTAGAACTGTGCAGCAGATGGCTTTCAATGGCAGGTTGGTCAGAAGGAGATCACCAGGCCTTTGTTAGTGGTGCCTCTGGGTAGACTTCAACTTCCAACATTTCCGTTAGTACCTCAGAAGCTCACTGCCATCGAGTTGACTCGTAGGACAGGGCAGAACTGCCCTTGTGGGTTTCCGAGACGAGACTGTAACTTCATAAGAAAAGGAAGCCTTGTCTTTCAGAGAAACTCCTTTCGAACTGCTGACCATGAGGTTAACCGCGCTATTCGTAACCACTAAGCCAGGAGGGCTCAGTTAGTACCAGCACCCTTTCATTGAAGACCTGTCTTAGGTGGCGCCAGTGGATCTCCCTAACAACCCTACTAACTTCAAACCAAACTCAGTCAATGCCCACTCTTAAAAGTACACAGCAAACCCCACTACCATCCATTCAATTCTGACTCAATCGTGTAGGGCAGGGCTGAAATGCTCGTTTGCATTTCGCAGGCTGTAAATCTGTCCAGGAGTAGGCAGCCTCGTCTTCCTACCTCGCAGGACTGCTGGTGGGTTCGAACCGCTGATCTTGAGGTTAGCAGTACTTAACCAACACTACCACGAGGGCTCAAGGGAAATACTGACAATGGGTCACCACTTGAGACTGGGAAAGTTACGAGACTTATCCAAGGCTTTGCAGCTAATCGCACCTGGATGGCAGCTGTCTGCCTCCAAAAACAGTCAACCTGCACCTCTGCGTCGCCCGTGTTCCTCGGCTTGGTCCCGTGAAGCACCCACCGGACCTTGCTGGCCCATGTCTCGTCTGAGAACGTCCGCAAACTACATCTCCCAGAGTTCCCGGCGACGCCGCGGCGCTCCGCACGTCCACCGTCCCTCAAGGCCCGGAAGGGGAGGGTATGTGGGCGGGGCTTGACTGGACACACCCACCAGGGCGGGGCCTGGTCTTGCCCCAACTGCCGGAACAGGGACAGAGGCGGAGGTGGAGGCAATTCCGAGGGCGCGGCGTTGGGACGTGCTCCCGAGACTGGCCGTGGGGCCGCCCGTCCCCTCCCTGCCCTCCGAGGTGGCTCCCCCAGAAAAAGCAGGAATGTGTAACCAGAAATGTCACTAGCAGCGAATCTTGAGGATTTGCTGGGGGTTAGAGGTGGTGGGAGTGGAGGAGGAGGAAGGGTGGTCGCAGGCCCCCCACCCCACGCCCCGCCAGAGACCGAGGGGCTGGAGGCGGGGCAGCAGAGCACCTGGGTAGGGAGGGGCCAGGGTGCCCGTACCTGTGCTCCAGGAGAAGGTAGTTGTGAGCAGCGGGCAGTGGCGTGGGCAAAGCCAGTGCAGTGGGGACGCTATGCGGGAGTGGTTGGCCAGAAGCACACTATTCGGCCAACACTTCTCTTCGGCTGCTACAGTTCTGGCGGCGCTTGGTCCTCTCGTCGGGAAACCAGAGGGCCGTCCCCAGGAGTCCAAACCGCGTGGCTGCCCCGCCTTACAGCTGTGGACCCTGGACCAGGAGGACGGGCCTGAGGGTTAAGCTGCCTGCCCCTCAATGCTGACCGACCCCTCACAAGTGCCACTCAGCACTGCTTAAGCACCCATCCACTCCGTTACGACTTTTTTTTTAACGAGTCCAGCTGTACAATGGTAAAGTTCACAGCCGCTAACCGAATTCCACCAACCGCCCCGCAGGCGCAAGCTGTGGCAGGCTGTTTCTGTAAAGATGGCTCTGGTGGGGAGCTGCCCTGGATTCGGTCCCCACCCGTAGCGATCCTGCTGTGCACAACAGCCAAACACTGCCCGTTCGGCCGCCATCCGCACAACTGTCGCCCTGTCGGAGCCCATTGTTGCAGCCACTGCGTCAACCGAGAGAGATGACAGGCTCAGAAGCCCCAGGGTCACTCTAACTGGACATTGACTCCGCCACTTAAAGGAGTCATGGCAATGCACTGGTTAAAGTACTCACCTACTAACCTTAACAAAAAGGTGTGGGTTTGAACCCACAGGCAGCGGGAGGCCTGGCAATCCACCCTGGTAAGGATGATAATCCGAGACACCCACAGTTCTACCCTGGGCCAGTTCTGCACCATCCATAGACCAGCGGTTCTCAACCTCCCTCATGCCGCCACCCTCAGTTCATACAGTTCCTCAGGTGTGGTGACCCCCAACCATAACATTATTTTTATTGTACTTCATAACTGTCATTTTGCTACTGTTAGGAATCGGGCAACCCCTGTGAAAGGGTCGCTCGCCAACCCCCCCTCCAAATGGGTTGAGAACCATCATGATATACTCTAGTGTAGAGTCACTTTGAATTGGAATTGACTCAATGGTGCACAAGTACATGGCTAACTTTGAATATTGAGAAAACATCCCAGCCCAGTCCAGATCAAGTCCATAAGTCCGATATTAGCCCATATGTCCAATACCGATCTATAAATTCCTCTTCGGACTCAACAAAACATATCCAATGACACTGAATGCAGGAAGATCACAAGCCAGTGGGTGGAAATTCTAGTGGATCCAGGGACAGTGGCAGCTTCTCAGTGTTGGCAGGTGTCCCCACGTGGCTCTTCTATCTCCGGGGCTCTAGTGTAGCGCCGTGTATCTTCTCGACAGGGATGTCTCGCAGGGAGTGTGTTCACATGGCTAACTTTTGTTAAGCTGTTTTCTTTACAATTCTTGAGAGCTTTGTGGTGAAGCACCATTTGCAGTTTTCAGAGGGGAAGACCGAGGGACAGAAAGGTCATGTTTTAAGATTGTGACGTGCAGGACACGCTAGGTTACCTAGGAGGAGTTCACCAGATGGCTAACATGGCTTCACTGGGAACCACCAGTTCGGGGCTGAGCCTGATGTCAAAGCCCACGTTCAGGTGGGGCCACAAAACTGGAGGACTGTGGCTAGATTCTGGAGCTTTCAGTCACCAAGGATTCAGCGTGGCCTCCGCGGATCCCAGGAACTGTTCTGTTGGTGCAGTGTCTGTGCCCCAGGAAGCTCTAAGGTTCATGAGCCCCAGGTTGTTTAGCGTGGTACCTGACTGAGGTCAAGGACCAGGCCCTCCCTGACCTTAGACACCAGCTCCCCTTCCTCCTGGGGGCCTGAGCTTGCAGTGAGAGGAGGATTTGGTAGGGTGAAAGTTGGGCCCCTAAAGGTCCCTGGTAAATAGCCTTGCCAGTAGCTACAGGCCCAAGGAGCCAATCCTGGCTTGAGGCTGTGGGCTTGTGAAATACTGCTCTCGTTTGCCTTTGGGTGTTCTGAGTGTCTTGAGAGTGAGAAGGGGGAGCTCTTGGCACACCCCATCCCGCCTATTCCCTGCCGCGGAATCTAGTCTGGGCTTGGCCCAGGCTGGGGGAGATGTCTGAGATGAAAAGGAGCCAAGCTAAGGGCAAAGGGTAAGGAAGGGCCATAGCCCTTTGTTTTCCTAAAGGTCACAGTACACCTGGGCAGCCTCTTCCTCACCCATTTTAAGCAATTCAGCCCAGAGCCCTGGAGAAGGACTGCGGTGGGGCCTGAGGAGGAGCTGCCCAGCGGAGAGTAAGAAGCAGGTGGGACCTTCTGTGGTTGAGATCGAGGGTGGGAGGATAAACACTCATCCCAGCTCTTGGCTAGTAGGGATCAGTGGGTGGGCCAGTGGGTGTGGGGAGAGAATAGCTGCCTCCTAAGGAGGCGTTGAGAGAAAGTCCTCCTCGGGCGCCAGCCTTTCCCCTCCTTACAGGACCCCAGGCACCCCCTCTTCTCCGGCTCCAAGACTGGCAGACTTCATAAGGCGGTAGTGGTAGCGCTATGCGTAGGCCACGCTGGAAAAAAACCCAAAATACCCGTCTTTATTTTGAAAGACCACTCACCCTATTAGAGAGGGGGCCCTAGGCGTGTGGGGTACAAAGTAAGAGTGCTGATCTCAGAGTGGTATGTGGTAGATATACAATCATTTGTCAATTTGAGGATGAAGAGTGAAGGGGTGGAGTCTACTCTGTCAATTGGGTCACAGCCAGTGAGGCTTCTGTGTGGGCATAGCCTTTCCCTAAGGATTCTGGGAAATTCGGTATTTTCCTCTTTGGAGGTGGGAGACATAGCATCTGACAAGACACATGGACCCAACCCTGATGCAGAGACCCCTGCCAGCGCTGAGATATTTCCAATGACACTGGATCCAAAGAGTTTCTACTCACTGGCCTGTGATCTTCTACATTCGGCGTCATTGCATGTGTTTCGTGAGTCTGAAGAGGACTTTATAGATTGGTATCAGACATTTGGGCTAATATCAGACTTAGGGACTTGATCTGGACTGGGATGTTTTCTCAATGTTCAATTGCTCTTGTCTATAAATCTTTTCCTTATACACATATGTGTCTCCATGGATTTGTTTCTCTAGTCTACCCAGACTAACACACCCTAGCCTTGGGCCCCCTACTCCTCTCCTCCGTTAATGATCAGAGTCCTTGAAATTTTCTACTCTTTTCTCTTCTTCTCGGGGCCCCTACAATCCATGGACCACACAGCACAGCCTGCGCTCTCCTGCTTAAGCCCTCGGTCGTAATTTCCTAGTGTGCTTCAACAGAAATACTGCAGATGGGTGGCTGTAGCTGTTAGATTTTATATCAACTCATAGGAAACCTGTAGCATAGTGGTTTTATGCTGGGCTGCTAGCCCCAAGATCATCAGTTTGAAACCACCAGCTGCTCTGTGGGAGAAAGAGGCTTTCTTCTCCAGTAAAGAGTTACAGTCTCAGA